AAAAAAAAAAAAAAAAAAAAAAAAAAAAAAAAAAAAAAAAAAATCAGTGCTGTGTCTTGGTTTCGGATGGGGCAACAAACATGGATGACATTGAAAACTAAAAAAAGCTGTAAGATTTATGAAGACTAAAAGACTGTTAAATTATTTGGGGTCTTTCGTGTGTAATGAACTCTCTGCTCATAGAATGCCATTATTGGCTTCACTTATTTATTCATTTATGGCATAATTTCTCACATAAATTGAGTAGTCTCATTATGAAGCCAATTTGACTACATAGAATGATTTCTTTGCGAAAATACGTGGATATTAAATCGATATTTAAACCATAAGCAATACGATCAAAATTACGGTCGACTATACAATTTATGAATTTAATTTATGCGACTCAAGCACCAAACAGTTGAAGGATTACAAAAACGTTTGACAAATTTGAACATTGACGGGTAAAAGGATGTTTTCATTTCTAGAGCCATGTAGAAAAGAACAGTGTTGCTAAGTGTTTAGGAATCCTGCTATCAAGCAGGTAATCGCTTTATACCTTTTATATTACATTTAAAGGCAGGTGGATTTATATGTATATATCAATTTCATAAACGGTAAGTTTTTTCAATAAAATGTACTAAACTTACGTAAATCAATCCGAGATGAAATTAGAGGAATGCGTGGTGTAGTTTATGGGGCTAGCTTAAAATTACAAAATGAAACGGTGCAACTTATCATTCCTTTCTTTTTTGCTCTCCCACCCCCAAGTTTACAATTTATTTGGTTCTGCACTAAGTGAAAGGTCTGCAATTGAAACGCATTATTGAGACCTGGTGATCGTGCGCAAGGAGAAAAAATGGCGAGGGATTTTCTTTGCGGGCGAAATGTCAAGAATTCACTCATTTGTCTGTGACCGATTTCCTTGTAACCAAAGACTGCCAGCCCGGCGTGTGAAGATAGAGTACAGTTTCTTCTCGTTATTCTTTAATCAGGAAGTCTGTGCTGTTAGGTAATGTCCAACATACTGAATTACCACTTAACCCAGTCCATCTTTTTGATGTAGATAAGCTTAGAGACAAACATGTCCAATCATCCATTCCACATCACCATAATTGAGTGAATCCGTACAATTTCGTGAATCGCGTAGTTATCAATGAAACGAAATAAATAAACCATTTTCTCATTACGGCAAAGCGCTCTGGCACACGACGTCCAGGCATTAACACAAGCTTATCATTTCTGACCAGGGTTCCCAGGAGCAAAACCAGAGGAACAGACCGCAATCTTTTCTTTCTTTTTTTTTTAACTCGCTCAGGCAAAGTAAACAAAAAGCAATTAGACAAACGAGATACAAATGTCCTTTAAAGCATCTAGTTTTTATTAATTTCCTGAAAAAATAGCGACTGGATTGGCCCAAAGCACAAACAGATATGGAATTTTGTATGGCAATTGTACATTAACACCTCTACATGGCAACATATTTCTTCACAAAGAATTTCATGTGTATTTGCGTAAGTTTTGAGACAAACACACAAAACGGAATCAATAAACGTAAATAAAAGAACAAACGGAATTAATAAATGTAAATAAGAACATATTAAAATGTTTGTATTTGTACATCAGTTGTGTTTGGAATTCTCTTTCCTTAAAATAACTGACTAAATTCTAAATTACAAAGTAATACTGCTACTATGGATCAAAGCCATATCAAATAGACCTACAGGAAATACTTCAAATTTTATTTCTGTGCATTATTTTTTCATCAGATCTGCAGTGTAATAACAAATATATGCACAAATCTCTAGTTCTTTATAAATTTTTCTTTGGCACTGAAAAGATGTGGCCATAATATTGACAGCAGTCTGTACAGAGACTATCGTTCTTAGTTTACTATATGTATAAAATAGATGAAATGAAATAATGTAAATTGCTGAACATTATGTGGTTAAAAATGATTGTCAGTGTTACAATAATTATAAAACAAACAAAAAATAGATGGTGTGAATCAACAAATTTGTGCATGATAGATCATATAATACTGACAATTATTTTGTCAGGTATTAAGCAATGCCACTAGGAATAAGTTCAATACATTTCACATCAAAAAGGGTAGCAAAGCTTTCCTCTCTTTTGGATAGTCATCAAACTTTTCTAGGTAATACCTGTAAATAAAAATATTAATATTTCAATTCTAATTTTACTCAAATTTTGCAAACCTCATATAGTTATTTATTTAGGCTATCAACAGATTTTATATGATGTATAATCAAGAATTCATTCCTTTGTTTTACCTTAACAACAAATCAAAACTTATTGATAGCAATCACTAATATACAACTTACTGGTGATGGTGAAAGGCTCTTGGCCCAGTGTTCAGCCAAGTAAAAATACAAAAAGCTAAAGCTGGGAGAGACCAGCAAGCAATGGCAAAACCAGTCCATTCCAAACATTCTCCAAAGAAATTTGCTCCAGAAACATATTCAAACATTCCACCTGTCAGAAAAATAAATAAAAGTAAAATAATCATAATAAGGTTCAAGACATACATGTCATTCTTATAGTTATAATGTCATGTTAGTTAAACCCACTAGAGGCTTATTGGTTTTAGAAATAATCAGTTTGAGTTTTAAATATAAAATAACTTGTATTGTTACATAAAAAATCTAAGGTGAGAGTGACATTACCTCGTGGGATCTTGTAACCAGTTTCTCCAGGTTTACGTAAATTCCTCAAAACATGATCAGAGTGTATATTAACAAACATTCCAACACCAAACAACAGTAAACCTGAAAAGGTCAAAAGGCCGAATTCAATTTCAGTGCATAGAGAAAATATATAATTGACATCAGTTTTTTTCTTTCTTGGATATCAATGCACTTTTCGTGAGCACAGTTAATGGGTTATGTGCATTTAATTAATTATCAAATAAAAATAATAACATAAAAGGGGGCTGCAAAATATTTCTCAGTACTAAATGTAGTAAGACCAGCTTAATTTCATCCAATATCTATTAGTGCTTCTTAAAAATCATTCAATTTTTATCCCCTTATAACTTACCAATAATAAAGTTTGGACTTAGGACCCAGTGGTTTGGGTAGTCTGCATACTGCAAAAGGAACCTGGCCTGCAGATATCCATTAAATGTGCAGTAAACAAGAGCCAGGAAGAATGGTACAAATGGAGTGGGTTTCCCTCCTTTGATTAAACAGGGATAAATCAAGGCCCTGTAAAATGACAAAACAAATCCAATTAGAAGTAATGAGTTTCACTAAGATGAGTCTCATTAAACAGGAAATAAGCAAAAATTTTACATATGATCACAATTGCTTGTTACATGGTATTGCCATCCATTAATTTTACTCATTGCCACCAACAACGTAGCTGCTTCAAGTTAAACAGACCTTCCAACTCTCACCAATTTGCCACGGGAATCACGGATTTAATCTAGATCTCACGAATTTTACAATGTTTCTCAAGGAAGATTGCAGGCAAAAGTATGAGTGAATTTCGTGCTAAGTTTGGAAGGTCTGTATAAGCATCGAATACAACGTTTCACCTTTGGAAATAATGCACTATAAAGGCCGACAGAAGAACTTGATTAGCAGTAGCACTTTTTTTCAAAGAATCGGTGCAGAATATAAGAGAAACTGGGACAAACAATGCTGGCAACTCCTGTATCAACCATGCTACACGACTAGGAATTAGCACACCCCAACTTGAGCTCCCATAGCGTCCATATGGGGTCCTTATGAATTGTAATATTAGTGCAACTAACGCCCCTGTTATTATAGTAACATAGGACGCCAAATTGATAAAATCTTTTTCATTCTCTGGTATAAAATCTCCAAGTAATCCCTTTGAAACCAGAGACGCTTCCTGTTCCATGGGCGCAGACATCTTGAATTGAAACCGAGGCTTATCCACAAACGATGAGGTCGTCGAAATGATCGCTTGTGAAAAAAACAGAAATCACCCATCTTCTTGGTAGGTTCAACAAGGAAAGCATACAGAATCGTATTTTGTCAAGCCCGGGAACAATTTGACAATGGTGAAAGAGGACAATTTGACAAACTACCGGGGAAATTCTGCCGGTAAGGCTCCGACATACACGGGTGATAAAAACAAAACGAAGATGGCGACCAAAAACAAGAAATGGGTCCGTCTAGCCACTGTCCTCGCCTACATTCTCGCGGTGTCGCTGGCGGCTATAGTTTTGGCGATATACTACAGTGTGCTCTGGAAACCCGATCTGCAGGAGACCAACGGTACTAGAGTGGACGCATCAAGTAATACCCCAAGCACTGCCCCTCCTGGCATCTCTTTGGGTTCCACTGAAGCCGCCCCCACTCCAAGCACCCTCAGTAATGTGAACAGTGGATCAGCAGGGAACACACCAAATAATACCTTGACAGAAACTGGGTATGTAGAATATGGTATCTTGATTTACTAAAGCATTGCTTTTGCTAAACGTGGTAAAATTTCCAGGACTTTTCAGCATTGTGTTACTCATAAAAGTGACTTACTGTCACACAGTTGTGGGCAGTCTTGCCGATTTCACTATACTTTACTTGTTCAGACTCTAGCATAACCTTGGTTATATTTTCAGGTGACTTTGGCACAACTCTCCATATACCTATGGTCCACTAATTGTTATTTACCTAAAGGCCTGGCTGGGGGATGGTTGAAAGTTGGACACACAGCATAACTTGCAGCCAAAGTGCAATATTATTTATTAAGTGTGGTATATATATTACAGATATAAAAAGAAAGTCAATGGACTAATTTATTTAATTTACTTTTATATGTATTGTTTGATATAATGTGGTTTATTGTGTGTAATATAGACAGGGAAGTTGTCGGCTGTCAAATCATCATGAAATTGGGTTCTCATTTTTGATTTCTTTATGGGCTTTTTATTTGGTGTTTCACATCTTGGAGTTCAGATAATACTCTTCTTATTTCACTTTTAGTTTTTTAAACTACTTAATTCTACTTAAAAGAATTTTGTTGTAAGCCCCAATGTTAAAGGGGCAACAAATATGGAGGGTTTAGTATTATCCCAAACTACGTCTCTTACAGTGGTTTGTGTAATGGACCAGTTTCAGTTTTGCATGTATTAGATTTATATTTTGTGAAAATAAGGGTGGAGAAAAAAATTACTTTGAAAGATAACACTTTGTAATCGCTGCCTTGTGAAATGGCAGGATAAGTAGACATTCCCAATTAGGAGTCGGGAGCAGAGGCAAGTTTAACTTAAAACAACTGGACTTAACTTTTAGACCTAACATTTTGGTCTTCTTCAATTCAGGATAAATTTGTAGTAGTCCACTGAAGTAAGTTAACAACAATAGTCATTTAAAACGTTTTTTTCTTTATATAGAAAACAAGCATAATATGTCATTGAAGTATATAACTTATGATTCCTCTTGTGCCAGAAAGGTAAAAAAAATTGTGGTGTTACAGATAAGACCACTTTCGTTCTTAAGTACCCAGTACCTTGAGCCCTTGTTCTCTCACACTTGCTACAAGGAGTTAAGCCTGTCATTATAGTGTTATCAGGGATCCTTTGAATTGGTCTTTATCCCATCCTATTGATAAATAAAAAGGTCAGTCATTTTGATATGCAGGGTGCTTTTTATTTAAATATATGTATGTTGTTTAATAGTATTTAAGGTGCTTGTTCAATTTTTCACGTTGTTTGTAATACTATTATAAAACTATCTTGTCTGATATAATCTAAATCAAAAGTGGTGCTGAACATTTAAATTGCTTAAACTGAGTGTTGATGTATGAATTTATTTATGTTCATAATGTGATATTTGTTAGATATTTTGTATGGCCCATAGTACTGTTGTCTTTTTTTCTGTATTTTGCCTCTCAGTTGATGTTTTTTGGCTTTTGTGTCATGGCAGTACTAATTGTACCACCAGCGTAGGCGCTGGCGGTACACATGGTTTTAGTCCCGACCCGTATGTTCCGCCGGCTCCTGCGGCTCCTGCGGCTCCTGC